GTCTGAGTGTTTTTTCTGAGTGTTCGATCTTTGTATTAATAATTATAACAAACTAGTGGAGTAATTTCACAAAAAATAATTGAATATCAATTCAATAAAAATTTAATTAAAATACGTGTTTTTTGAAATCATCTTCATCAACCCATTTGTACGTCCCACTGTTGGGTGCGGGTCTCTCTCAAGCGAGGGTTTAGGCCGTAGTTCACCACGCTTGCCCAATGTGGGTTTGGGGACTTCACGCGTTGTGAATGTTCTTCGACGTGGAAGTTTCACCACGTTGTTATCTTTGATATATTTCAAATTAAATTTCGCACATAGAATCCGAGAAACTCAGAGGTACCAGCCCGGATTCGAACCCACGCCCTTTGATTGAGAGGCGGTAGGTCAAACCATTAGGCTGCCACTGTCTTTTGTTTGTTTTTCTCACTTAGTACTAAACAAAATATTAGGATATTAGGATATGTCACCATAAAAATATATAACAAAATAGGGTATAGGTAATTGTAGCCACTTGTGCGCACACGGCACGAATTTAATACCTAATGCACCCGCGCCCTTCATTCACGAATAAAACTTGCTAATTTTTTCTTCTACTACACGCATCGTAAGTGTCCAGGGTTCAAGCTCGTTTTCGCCAATTACTAAAAATCAGATTTTTTTATTAAATATTTTTAGCACCGATGGATTTTTTTTGGTCAATTTTGTAATTTGAATATGAAATTGACTAAAAAAATCAATTGGTATTAAAACAAAACCTGATTTTCTGTAATTAGCAAAAACGTGCTTGATGCCTAGACACTTTTGATGTGTGTATTTCTAATAAATAAATAAGTAAATAAACAATTGTACACAATTTGTTGTAGGTAGTTCTTATTAATTTTATGGCTTTCATGTAATGAAATCACGAAATATGCAATCATTGCCTAATAGGAATTTTAAATGAGAACATCTTTATTTTAAGCAAGGAAATAATTACTGCCTCTATGATTTAACGTAACATTGCTGTGACATTTTAGTTTTCAGTCAGCTCGTTGTGAAAGAGTTCGTCCAGGAAAGTACTGCCACCTTACCTATTTCTGCCGCCAAGTGGTAATGTCACCATTACTGTGTTTCGGTTTTGAAAGGTAAGGGTGCTGGTGATATTACAGGCACATGGGACTTGTCAACTTATGTCTCAGGGTGACGGGCGCAGTGGCAGTGCCCCTCAGATCTTTGCGATTTAAAGCTCTGAGTGTCACTGCAACTGTTACGGATAGGCGTGTAGCTTATCATCAGGCGCACGACTTGTTAGTCCCGTCACTTGATATTATAAAAAAACTAGCTTTATTTCATAGTTAAGAAAATTACTCATAATATCGTCACGTTGATTCAACTCTACTCCTTATATCTGAGGCAGATTCCTCTGAGAAGGATGAGTGGGAAATTCTTGGGGTTGCTCTTTGTAATAAATATTTGTATACTTTTTTGTCATTTACAGTGTTCATTTATGACAAATCAAAACATCCAGCAAGGAAAACACAGGTAATTACCATGGTTTTTTGGTCAACCAATTACGTAGAAGCTGTGTATTGTACAACCTTTAGTAAAGTTTTTGTTTCGCTATAGTCTTAAACTTCGTTAATGGCATATTATTATTTCAATATAAACCGGCTTTTATAATGAATTTGTGACTTTGTGAAGACGGCGTCAAACAGCCAGTTGATTTTTAGTCAAGTTATGTTCATCACTATTATTTTATTAAAATATTTCTATTTTGTTATGATTTTTTAGTACAAAGATCGAACGACGTAGATCCGGCCGGATTTGAACCGTCAAATTCAAGTAATCTTTAGTTCATAAGTAAGCAAAATACACTTGAAATTCATACGTAAGGCGGATTCTTCCGAGAAGAATGAGCAAGAAACTCTAGGGATTGCTCTTTGTAAATATAAATTTAAATATATTTATCATTACAATATTTAATTTAAACATCTTAGATCGGGAGTACCTGAAAGAGATATAAGGGCGACTACCACGGATTTTTGTGTCATCGAAGTACACAGAAACACGCGTATTCCATTCAATTAATTGATTCTAAACAGAATAATTTTTGTTCGAATATTTGTCGATTACAAGAACTTAGTCGTAATATAGTACAAAAATACTAGAATAAGATAGTTTAGTCCTTTACATGAAACTTTCCGACGTATGTAACACTTCAGATTTTTGGGTAGAATAGGAGACCGATTTCTCGTGGGTTTCATCTTACTAGCTCGGTTAGGTAATTAATTTATCATCAACCCATTTATACGTCCCTCTGTTGGGCACGAGTCGGACTGATTTCAGACTGATTACTTTAAAAAATTAACACTTTAAATTTTAATCGACTTCAAATATTAAAATTATTGTCCTTCCAGTAAAATGAGCTTATTATATAACATCGTTTTGTAATAGAAGAGCTTATCGATTAACTTAAATAATGAATACGCACGTCAATATATGAACTAGCGACGGCCTTAATTAATTTTACTAGATGGTTTTCTGTTGGTAATTGATCAAATTGATGAATGGCGAGACAAATGAAAATGTTACTGCTGACAAAATAATATGGTAAAATCTTATTATTCAGAAGAGGTTTACTTAATGACGGCCTCGTGTGAAATTTCTTTTATCTTAGGTGGGATAAACTAGACTACCTTCGTCTTCGAAAGAAATTAACTCATACGTATGACCAACTCCAGGTTTTTGTAACCAGCGCACGGTTAATTCTTTGCTTTATATATTTTTTTGTATTACTCGTACTACATACCCGGCGATGTATTGATTATTTGCTCATTATATCCGGACATTCGAGGCAACGTGCTGCAAAAAATATCGAAATTACAGATACTACCGATAATAGATACTACAAAATTGAAAAAAAAAAACGAAACGTTACTAAGCCGCATAACAAAAGACCTTACCTTAAAAGACCTTAGGGTCATAATCATTTTCGTCCCTTTGTTTTCAAAATCGATCAGAATCGAGAACAGAGTTGCCTAATGTATACATCACTAAAATTTGACCAAAAAAAATGTACAAGCGGCTTTACCACGAAACTGAATACATTATACGAAAGTGCGTTCGTTCGATATTCATGGCATATTAACAAAGGATCACAACTATATCGCACCAAGTAAAAGCCGCAATGTATTACAAATGATGAGGCATACACTCGGTTGCATACTTGTTTTCTCGAAACTCACACAAACCCAAAATAATTGTTTTTAAAATAAATTATGCATCTTCTGATTACAAAATCACTTGCCCGTGGAAAGAAACGTCCCTGCTTATCCGTTTACTTACAGTTATGGTGATTTTGCAGTTTGTAATGGCACTATTATGCATTTTTTCGCGTTTTCGACTAGTGTTTATCGATACGATAACGGTCGAGCGCGATCTGAAGTGTAGCAGCGGCGAGTAAGTGAATTTCATTTACATTGTGGCGTCTACCTAAATATGACTAATTTCTGCTTGTGCAGCAAGGGCGCCTATCTATGGCGGTTGAGTTTCAGCGGGTATACAGGGCTATCGCCCGTGAGTCCCCGTAACCGCTTGCTGCTCCACTAGCCGAGTGGTATGCGTAACGCAATTCCCAGCAATGAAAAAAAGGTGCAATATTATAAATATAACTACTTTATTTTTCAAACAAACCACCTTCTTTATTATACATTACATTTTTTCTAATTTTCTTAATTAATAAAACTAATTTCGTAAACATTCATATTGTTAAATTGCAAGACATTTGTATCGTTATCCAGATAAGTCGGAAAATATTGATACCTTGGTAACATTATTATTTTTTTTTTTTTTTTTTTTTAATTTATTGAGGAACAAACAGTTTTACATATTTAAAAATATACATACTTAAAATTAACATATTACTAAACCTACAGTTCCCTAAATATGCATATAAAACAAAAAAGTATACGGTATACTGACACTTATAAACGTAAGTTTTATAAACGTTAAAAAAAACAAAGTAAAATGAACGCAACACCACCCGTATCCCTCAAACTATGCAACGAACGCACATTTTCTAAGTTTGCTGGATGACAGGCACCGGTTGGTTACGTTCGGGAGCGAGCGGTCGTGCTACGCAACGAGATAAGTACTAAAATGCTATAGTGTAAATTAACATAAGTCGGAATCTAAATGATCCGGAGACCTAAAAAAGAAACAATTGTTCAATAAAAAAATTATTATATGTATTTAATAATGATAGTTTTCTAAAATCTTTCTAACTAAACTTTGCAAGAATCTTTTATACGTTAGGTACGCAATGTTATCTTTTTTGTACAAACTTAACTAAAAAACACTGTAACAAACTTAACTCGGGGTTAAGGTATGTTAAAAATAACTAATAACGAAAAGGTTTCAAAAGTTTATGTTGCTATTCAGCCATTCAAAAGTATTTAGAATAATTAATGATAAGTTTGAACTAAGATCCATAAAAATAAAAAAGGAAGAAAAATGGCGGGTTTTTTGTGGTTCACGATTTAGTTTTTAAGTTAAGTTACATAAAATGTTTATATGTTTTTTATTGTCTTTTTCAGCTGATAGCTTAATAGCCAATGCTGAATAAACAATTAAATCAATAATAAACTGTCGTTAGGGCAAGTCAAGTACTAATTACAAATGAATGTGAAAACAATGTATATGTTTCTTTTCTTAACTTTTTAAGCAGATGGCTTTTTGCTAATGCTCAGTAAATAATTTAAAAAACTTATCGCAGCTCTGTATTTGCAGAGGGAATTCACCCCTCGATTCGAACTTCCAATTCATATTTTCGAAGGTTAGAGGGTCTGCGCGCGCAGCCTGCGCGGCCACTCAGTCGATGTGCAGCAGTCGCCGACACCGGCCGGCGACCGCGTCTCCAGAGCGTAAAAATTAAAAACAAACAATTTCTAAATTAAAATAAACCGTGTTCGTTTTGCCTTGAACATTCAAGAAGAAAACGAGACTTGAAAATACAAATTTGAAATTTATTAGTGCATTGTGATCGTCTTTTTCATATCAGCTGATCGCCGAAAAAACTACGATTAGGTGAGTTTATGTTTTATTTGAGTCCTAGGTTCGAATATACGTTCAGAACAACTATCGCATTCGGTTCCAATAGTTCACAAGACGCTTGAAAGTGTTTCAAGGCGATCGTGCTCAACGTTCGATAGCCTAGACTTAAGTTTTACCGCAAAAATTCTCGATTAATGTCTTTTTATACAATGGGAATGTTAATCAGCTGTTCAATCCAAACGAAAATTATAAATGAGAAAGTAGCTCTGTCTGTTACGTTTTAACATCTAAACCGCTGAACCAATAGTGATGAAATTGGGAAAAGACATAGATGGGTTCTAGAAGGACAATATAGGCTACTTTTTGTCACAAAAAATAAATTTTAATGAAAGTTACAGAACAAATAAAACTATGAAAATTAGTATAGTACAGATGGTTACTAGATGTTCTTGTTCTACGCAGACGAAGTCGTGGGCATCAGCTAGTTGTAAATAAGGATGTGTATGTGGTGATTATGAAATTAAATATACGATAAAGTAAACGTTTTAAAAACTTTTTTTTATCTTTGGAACGCCAAATACATTCTCAATATGTTTTTTTTTTATTTTGTGTTAGTTCGTTCGTAGCGAAAGGAATGACTGGCATCGAGACAAACCCAAGTAAGGTAAACGGTGCTTATCAATATTTATGTATATTATTTTGTATAAAACAACAAAAAAAAAGAAAAAATTATCTATGTAATCGACCGGAATAACCTTAAAGGATGGAAAAAACGGAATAACACGGAAAACTTTGAGTTTTTTTTTATAATTTACCTGGTAACCGTGAGACTTATTGAATTCAGATACGTCACATTTATACACGAATTTACGACCAAAACTTAATATATATTAAGCTTATATTAAGCAAAACTTAATATAATTAACCTACCTATTTGATTAGCAGTAGAGCTCCTTGTGAAGTAGTCCAGGGAACTGCTACCATCTTACCAATTTCTGCCGCTAAGCAGTAATGTGAGCATTACTGCATTCCGGGACACATGGGATTTGTCAACTTATGTCTCAGGGTCCAGGGCGCAGTGGCGGTACCCCTCACATCTTTGTGATTGATTGTTCGATGATTTGTTCGTCCCGTCACTTGATATCATAAAAAAAGCATGTAATCTTTTATTAATATGTAGAAGTTATTACAAACATTAAACTTAATTAATATGTACGTGCACAATAGTTCTAGTAAATATGATCGCAATAAATGCAACTTCGGAAGCGAGCATCCTCGGTTTTTTTCGCTGCGCATGCGCCCACGTAGTCGGCAATTATCCTTGCACAAATCACTAATGACCCACTAACATTAGCCCTTAGCTGAAGCCTCTATTCAATTCACCAAAGTGTAAACAATGGTATAACATCCGATTTGTAAGGCATCGTCACTGTTCTTTGCCTATGTATGGTACCTTATACATACGTAATTCTTGGGATTCTCTATTTCTTAACATGAGATTTGCAACCTGTCGTTGTTTATTGTCACAGTATATATCTTTTTGAAAGTTGATTTAGTTAATAAAAAAATATTTAAACAAAGAAATAAAAAAAGCATGAATATGGTTTCCAATACTAAACTTGCATACTAAATTTCTAAGTAGACTGAAAAGTAAAAAACATAACATTTCCTGTACTTGCGTAAATTCCCTAAGGCGCCGGTTTTCGTTATGAACAAGCGGGACTAAATGTAAAAGCGATTTTTAAGCAATAAATAAATAGAAATTATTTTTCATAAAATTATTCATTGAAATAATTTTTAGTAGCAGTAGAGGTCCTTGTGAAAGAAATCTTCCAGGGTAGTAATGCCACCTTACCTATTCCTGCCGCCAAGCATTACTGTGTTCCGGTTGTGAAGGGTAAAGGTGCAATTACAGACGAAATTACAGACACATGGGACTTGTCAACTTATATCTCAGGGTGACGGGGGCAGTAGTAGTGCCCCTCAGATCTTTGCAATTTAAAGCTCTGAGTGGCACTGTGGTTGTTATGTGCAGGTGTGTAGCTTACCATCAGGTGCACGACTTGTTCGTGCCGTCACTCGATGTTATAAAAAAAATTTAAAATAATGTAAATATTACATCTAAAAGAACCCGTTAGATATGTAAGTACATATGCCTATATTTAACTGCCTCGGTGGCCGAACGGTTACCATACCGGACTGCCACGCAGAGGTCCCAGGTTCGATTCCCGGGCCGGGAGAAATATTTGTATGGCTTACAATTATTTCTCTCGTGAGTTTGGGTGTAATTTGTGGTTGTCTATGTGTGTGTCCATGGCACCCGCGACACAGGGTTTCCCTAGTGCGGGGCTATGCTGAGTGTGTGCGTTATTATATGCGAGTGTAAGTAACTATAACAACAGAACGTGAGTGCATATAGGAAAAAAAATTTTCTAGTATAGTCTATTAATATTTATACATATATAATAAATATTAACCTTAGAACTAAGTCGAAACTCAGAACACAGAAACACAGATTCTTTTATGGGGAACTGTATACGTTTTTACAATAAGATTCCGGAGCATATATTAAGATTATATCATATCCTAAGTTTAAAACTTACATTAAAAGTTTTAATTGAAAAGTCTGTATTAGATAAAGATGTATGGAAAGACAATAAGAGTCTAGATTCCACACAAATATGATTCAAGGTATTGTATATCACAGCATTTAAGTTTATTTGAAAAGAGCAATCCCTAGAGTTTCTTGCTCGTTCTCTTCAGTGTGGGGAACGAACAGTAGATTAAAAAATGACGTTTTCAAGTGTAAAAATCTTACCTATGGAATAAATAAATTATTATTCGACTTTAACTTTGACTCTAGCCTTGAAAAGGTCCAATTTACAGCGTTCAAAATTCCATTACGTAGTCGTTCGTCATATTAATGGCGAAGTGTGACGCTTCGTGTAAATCCACTACAATATTTGTCTTTACATATTTATTTTAATTTTCAAGTATATTGAATGTTTGTCACCATGATACTCAATTATTTTTGTGAAATTACTCCACTAGTTTGTTATAATTATTAATACAAAGATCGAATACTTCCGGCTGGATTAGACCCAACGCCTTCCAGCGAACGATGCCAGACGCTATGCCAACCAAGACACGGAACGAACCAGTGGACCTTATGAACTTTTCCATGTGCTTGTTGCACATCTTTGTTTTTACCTTTTAACGACTTTTTTGCCGTAACGCCATCTTTGAGAAATCTTCTTTATTTTAATCAATATACAATCACCTGGTGAATCTTGATCGTATATTTTTTTAGCCTTGTAAATTTACATTCACATTTTTGAAATATTTCGATATTGTTAATTTTTAATAAGGCCAAGGAATACTCGCTCTGTGAACTATATCCACTACTTTCAAGTTTGTTTTCAATGTTGGTCAGTCATAAACTTGTCTAAAACCACATTCTGTACAATTATTATTATTACAGAAGGTTCTTTTTTATGTAACAAACAGGTTTTTTAGCTTCTACAAAATTTATTACGCATGGAAAAAATTTACTATGACGTACTACTATCCGTCGTATCCGTCTTTTGCGTAAATTATATGATGTAGTTTTTATTTTGCATAGGATTGTGTTAGATAAATATATATTATTATTAAGGTGGCTTATTCAGAGACCAGTTCTCATCACTTGAGTTATAGTATATTCGAAGCGAAAACCATGATATTTAATGAACTGTAGAGCTGTACAGCGGTAGGCATGTTGAGGCAACAGACACTGGTTCGACCACACACCGATCGAAGTAATTTTTCTTTGCACTTGTTCGATCTTTGTATTTTTGTTATGATACCAAATGAGATGAACAGTCATGCGCCTGGGGGTAAGCGACACGCCTGTTCATAGCAGTTACAGTGCCCATTTAAATCGTAGAGATTTAAGGTATTTCCCTGGACGAACTCTTTCACAAGGAGCTTTACTTCTACTAAATGTACTCGTATATTAAAATTTAAACGAAAATGAAACATCTACATTATGGAAGATGTCATAGTACACTCGGTGTATACATATATAAAGTCACATTTGATCGTACGTCAAAAATCCTTCTATCACATAGAAGTTATAAAAATAATACGAAGTAAATGAATCAAATTGTGTATATGTGAAATTTTATTACGTTTCTATTTAAGCATAAAAATATTACCAATTAATTTCGTTGGTAGAATTTTTAAGCCAGAAATTATTTATAAATCGAACTGTGAAATAACCTTTACAGTCAAAATTGTAAATTACGTACAATTGTGCTAAAGGCAACAATCTGTGCTACACTCTGAAATTATATATCACTTATGCGACCAACCGTTATAAGCGAAGTAGGCAGTAAAAAGAAATCTCCGCGTGTACAAAAAAAGCATCAATACCACAAAAATGTCTCGCAATAGCCGTTTCACTTAGAAAGCAAAGTATAACTAGAATTATTATATTTCAGCGTTAATTTTGGTCAGTAGAGTCTTAAATTAGGTGCTATTTTGTTTTTGAAATACACTAGAACATTAATTGTTGCGATTTTCTAAACAAGATTTGTACGATGCTATGTTGTTTTCTGTGTTATGTGCACATAGGTCGCTTGCTGCTTAATGAAAGCAGTAGCTTTTGCAGATCACGCCATCATCATCTACGCATTTATACGTCTCACAGCACGGGTCTTTACGCCATAGTCTGCCAAACTTTAGGCTTTAGGGATTTCCGAGTGTTGTGAACATTGTTCGATGAGCAGGTTTCATTCTTCACCGAATAGCTCATGGTCAATTTCAATTTAAATTTCGCACATAAATTCCGAGAAACTCAGAGGTGCGAGCCGGGATTCGAAGCCACGACCTCTGCTTGAGAGGTTGAAGTTCAAACAATTAGGCTATCATATACAAGTGTTTAAAAACAAAACACACGATTGGCGCATCGCATCGTTCCTGCAGCTAGATGGCTAGATGACATTGTCAAAATCGTGAACGTAACTACGGAAGACATACTCAGCTGTGGGTAA